GTAGATCCGTCCCGAGACTTCTTTCGCTGCTCTTTTGTGCAGGCCATTGAATTTTCTCTGGTGTGTGTGGATACATTTTAAGAGCCTGCACAAACTAACAAACGGAGAGCTACCAGAGGTTAGCCTCGCACTTAATCAGTGTGCCGCAGAATTCCCTCCTACTGGGGCTGCCTGTGCGCCTGAAATTTGAGCTGCAATTAGCCCCGGGGCGTCAGTTCAGCATTAACAGCATTTGATGAACGGTTATCCGCTTTATAAACTGGCACTGCCAGCTGCTCCCGGAACCTTTCACACTAAGCACGGAGGACTTTCTTGCTCTTCCTGTGTTCAGTCGCTTTGTGAATGATCTCGTTTAATTGCTGTGTATTTTCTGACATCCAGCCTAAGATAACTTTGCCTAAAACTCGGCATAGTTATTGGATTTAAGGGTTTAGAAACGTAAACAGGATTCAGATGCGTCAGGGTTTGGTATTTTTGCAAAAACAAAATCTAGACCGAGCTTTATCTTTTTTCTGTCATGTCCTAGTCATTTGCAAATTGGGGTATAATACAAGCAACACGACAGGGCTCTCTCATGCCTTCATTAGGGAACTCTTAGTGTATCTTTCGTGCCACCTTGGCCTTCCAGTCTAAGGAAAGAGATGCCACTTTCCCACTGTCTGTCCTTGACACACTCACAGGTGTGACTTCTAGTGCAGGAGTCAAGCAACATCTTTGCTCTCCTTCACGCAATTACAACTTCATACCTCTTTGGGGTAGTTACTGTGTTAAAAACAGGCATGACTGGGATAACATAGTGGCTGATTGATCCTTGTTCTTGTCTTTGCTATACAGAGTGCCTTTGGCCGCAAAGGCTCAGAGTGGGAACAGAGCGAGATCCTGTGCTGGGATTCACGCGGGGGCTCAGGCTCCAGGCACCGCACGGCTCCTTCGGGAAGCGCTTTCCCGTCAGGCTGTGTGCCCGCCCAGGCTGGTGTCTGTCACAAGTCAAGAAATCTGAGGCACGAATAGCAATTCCTTTGGTGTTCATTTTCAAAAGATGTCACACACACTTGAGGATATAAGAGAAGAGCATAATATTGCTCTCCTTGAACCATACAAAGCTAAATTTGCATGTTTGTGAACACGAAGGCCTTGCACATGTGGCTAAACATCTTTTTGGAACAAAAGAAAAAATGCTGATTGTAAGCTAAGACCTATCTGTAACTCCTTGAGTCCACAAAGTCGTTTATTCTTCATTAAACTTTTCAAAGTGTGTTGAATCCTAAAATAATGAAGAAGGTGGTAACTATATGCCAGGATTGAATATTTCAGCAGCAAGTTTCGTAACAGCCATCCCGTCCCAAGATATTAAAACTTAACAGGCCTTTGTGCAGCTTCCTTTGCATTATCTGATGCAAGTTGAAAAATCAAGAATCTCCTTTTAGGGACTTAAGATCCATGAGTTGAGAAATTATTCCTTATTACCTCCATCATTCTTCACTGAGGTTGAGACGGGGCACCACACATACTAACGTGTTGGTGGGCCACTAACCAAGCCACTCAGCGGGCCATAAACAGAAGGAGGAAAGCCTTCAATTAAAAGATAGGAATGAACTGTAACGCATTGACAATAAAACAGCCCAAGGACACATGAGTTGCTCTTCGATACGTAATGAAGCTGTAGCCTCGGACAGCAGGTCACTGGTACCTGAGGCACAGGCAGAGCCATCTGGGCTGGGCGTGCGTTCCTGCTGGCCTGGCCTGGTCTTCCCTGGCCCCCGGCGCCCAGGAGGCTGTGGGTAACCTGCCAGTTCTGATGCACGGTGCTCTCCGAGGGGGACCTGGGAATACAGGTTCCATCAGGCTGGGACCCGCCCACATGAGAAGTCCCCGCCAGGTCCTGTCCCTTTGCTGCATGAGCCAAAGGAAATCAACATGTCTACACCAGGCTCTCTCATCAACTCTCTTCACTGTGCAAGAGGCTTTGCTTCCACTTTCCACACGTGTGAGAGTGTGTTCTGGTTGGCATCCGCAGATAACAACCTACATTATAATTAGTATATCTTCAGAGACAATTGTTTCTATAATGGAAGGCAGTAGGGAGAAACCAGACTCAAATTCATGTGACAAGCTATTCCATGTAAATCAATTTAGGGAACAATTCTAAACCAAGAAATTAAGGCAGCTTAAACAAACAAAAATATATCACCCTGTTATTTACAAAAAGATAAAAGGCCGGTAGGGCTCCCCAGAGGCAGCAGCGGGTTTCTCCACGGTGCCTTCCGTTTGGCCAGCGTACGTTCAAACCCATGTCTTATGTTGTTGAGAGACTTTTTGTTAATTCATAGACTTTATTTTTAGAGCCATTTTAGGTTCACAGACAACTGAGCAGATTAGACACAGCTCCCCTGAACCCCTTCTCCCGCTCGCCGTCTCCCCGTCGCCTTGCGTTGGTGTGGTCCGCTTGTCATAGGCCTGAACCAACAGCCGTACCTTTTTATTAACGGAAGTCCGTAATTTACATTCAGGTTTGCTCTTCGTGTCGTACATTCTGTGGTTTTCGACAAATGCATAATGTGTATTTACCACTACAGCGTCACACAGCAGTTTCGCTGCCCTAAAATCCTCTATGCGCGTCCCTTCCCGCCCCTCGCCTCCTCCGTGGGGGCCCCGACTCCACCCCGCGGCCCTTGCATGCGTGCGCCCTCGGCCTGCAGGCCTCCTCCTCCTCCCCGCGGGCGCCGGCGCCTGTGCCGCCTTCAGGTCGCACACAGCTCGCCCGCCGCCCCCGCTGCCCGCGCCTGGCCGGGCCCGGATCTGTATCCTTTCTGCCTCTCCGTGCTTTGCCGGCCGGGCACGCATCACAGCCCTGGTGCGCGCCGCTGTGGGAACGGCCCGACGCGCACGCTGGCGCGGGGGTTCGGGGGTGGGAAGCACAGCCGGCTGAAGACCCCCTGTCCACTGCCACGGGTGAGGCCCCTTGACCCCGCGTTGTCCACGTTACCAGGTCCTCTGGCCAGGAACAACTTTAAATCCTCTTTAAAACCTACAACCTCAGGCACAATTCCTTGATTTCCACACACGTAAAATGATGCCAAGTTTAGGGCCATTGTACTTTCTCCCCCTTTCCCTCACCCAAGACTTAGGACAATCATAGCATCCCTTTTGCACTGTAATCTGTATAAATTTTGTAAAACAACAATAGTGATGTCTGTGCTTCCACTCTGAATTGGTACAAAAAGTAAATCATCAAAGATTATTATTCAAGAATGAGATTAGTTTTTATTTCATCCCTGAGTTTATCTATGGCTGTATTCCAATTATTCCTCTTTCTTTAATTTCTGTTCAGAATTTTTAGAATACTTTATTTACTTTTTTCTTCAGAAGTGTGTAAGGATTTCTAGGTCTTGTATTGCCTTGTATCTAGATAACGTATCTGTTATTTTACTCACTAGTGCCCATCAGTTCTTGGCACATCATCTTCGCGGGCCTCAGGCAGGATTCCGCATCGCCCGGTGGGTTCCTTCCCTCTATCCCTGCACCACGTTCGCTCTCCTTACCCTTCCTGTAGACAAACGTGTTAGTGTGTACATATTAGAAAAAGTATTTTGTTGTGTTTGTATTTATTTTAATTTACATAGCTGTGTTATCTAATTTATCCTGATTCCGCTGCCTTCTACACACTGATTTCTAATCCACCCACGCCTCTCCGTGTACATCTGATCCATTGCTTTCTGTACATTGACCTGCGTTGCCTATCTTTTCAACTTCCAAATGTATTTTAAATTTCCTTTAGAATTTGTTTCTGCAGTTGAATATCTTTAAGCCCTTTTAATCAAGTTTGTGCCCTCCAAGTGTTCAAAGTATACCTATGTGTATGAATTATATAGGTACTGAAAAGCCGAATGAATTTGTGCTAAATTTCAAGGTCTGATATGAAACCTAGGGAATTGTTTTTCTAATAACAGCGATCCTTTGATTAATACAAAAAGAACCTACTCATATATTGAGGCTTTAAATAAAGTTCTCAGAAGTTTATAACAGAGAACAAAAGGTGTCATTGGAATAAAAGTAAAATGACTATTAAAAGATACTTAGATACCTTAGCCTTGTAATAAGTTGTAATTATATATATTTTAAAACATTAGTTTATTAAAATAAAGAATATCCTTTGGAATGTATTCCTTCTGGGATATAAGAACAATGAAAAATACTTTCTTAATTCTATTATTGAATGTATACCTTGGCATTTCCCATAAGGACTTGAGGTATCTGTCTATAAAGACCATGTACCTGAAGGATAATGCCTAGAACAAAAATGGAAAATCATTACTTTGTAGAAGAAGAGGAGTTTCCAAATATTCTTTTAAGAGCAAATTTGTAGCTTTGATTGAGCATTGCATTTAACTTTAATCTTCTCATAAATGGGAAAACTTGAGAGCATGGTACATTGTGGGAGTTTTGTAACCATAGTGGAAGAAACATGCTCGATCCTTTGAGTGGACACCGCTTCCGAGCTGAGGCGCCTCCTGTCGGGCACCTGCTGGTGTTCTGTGATGAAGGAAACAGGTTAGCCAAGAGGAGAGTTGACATTAAAGCTGAAATTCAGAATCTCGTTTCTCACAAAAAGCAGAGGTTTTACTTAGGAACCAGTGTTTCACTTACACCTGAGCAAGGGTTTGGTTAAGACCCTAGAATTCTGCATCACACAGTGCCGCGTCTGTAGCGTGTGGAATCAGCTTAGACTCTGGAATGGGCAGGTAGGAACAGGTAGGAATCCTTACTCTGCCCCTTGGCTCCGTGTGGTCCTGGACCCATTTAATCTCTGCCAGCTTTAGTTTCCTCATACGTAAAAGTGCTAATTAACAACAACCTGCCTCCTAACATTGTCACTAGGATTAAGTCAGGCGGAAGTTCCTGGTGTTACTCAGCACGTACGACTTCAGTTGCTGCCAGGCCTTCGCCTAGCGCCCCTCCCTCTCTGGCCCTGTATTAATGAGCCCCCTCCTCTGCCTCAGGGGAAGCACAAGCTGCACGTCGACACTGGGATGGAAGGTGACTGGTGTGGCCTCATTCCTGTGGGACAGCCCTGCAAGCAGGTCACGACGACGGGCCTGAAGTGGAACCTCAGTAAGTAGAGCCCTTGCTCAAAGCAAGGTTTCCTCTCTTTCTTTTGGAAAGTTACCCCTGCCGTCCCCCTAGGAGAGGAGATGCTGCATCGTAAGGTAAGGGGCTGCTGAGCCTCGGTGGGACCGCCAGGCTGTTCCAAGGGGCTGCGCCGCTTCCGTTCCCGCCAGCGCTGCGTGAGGGTTCCGGCCTCGCCACACCCCTCCCGGCCGCCCCCCCCCACCCCAGCGCTTCATATGACCTACTTTCCTAACACACATCCTAGTGGGTAAGAAGCGCTCTCTCACCATGGCTTTTATTTGCCTTTTGCTGGTAACTAATGACACTGAACACCCTTCCATGTGTTTATGGACCATTTGTGTGTTTTCTTTGGAGTAATGTCTATGCAGATCTTTTGCCCTTATTTTAGTCGCGTTATTTCTCTTTATAGGTTGAGTTGTAAGGCTCCTATGTATATCCCAGATACAAGTCCTTTATCAGGTATATGACCTGCAGATATTTTCTCAGAATCTTTGGCTTATCTCTTGATTTTCAGAACTTTCATGAACTGAACTCATTCACTTAATTTTGACAAAGCCCAGTTTTTCCTTGTGTGGATTGCACTTCCGAACCACACCCAGAGAACTCTCTGCCCAGCTGTCCTCAGGATTTTGTGAGCTTGAAACCTCCTTGACTTTTCCAGAGAGGCAGCTGTTCTACCTAACAGAGAGAGCGTTCTTTTCATAAGATTCGCTGATCTTAGCAAATTTAAAATGTCTTCCTGGCACATATTAACTGCATTAGGTCCCAGTTATACTAAAACTCTCTGGTTTGAAAAGAACAAAAAAGGATGTGGGTCCATTCATGAAAGAATGCTGATTGCAGAGGAGCCATCAGGCCCTGGGAATCAGCGGGAGCCTCTTTAAGAAGAGCAGTAATTTAATCAAAGGTCTCTGATGGAATATCAAAAGGATTCTCTCCTGACTGACCAATACCTCTCAGGTTGTAAAAAGTCCACTATGGAACCATATCATTTGGTTATAGCATGCAAAGCTTTCAGGTTCCCACAAAGAAATAAATATTTCAAGAAATAAATAATTTAAAGATGAAAAGATACTTTAAAAGAACTCTGTATGAGCCACTGCTGAAGCAATTAGGGAAACACTCGATATTTCGAAGCAAATGTCTGGAGAACTCATCAGAATGTAAAGGACGGTGAGAACAGGTCTCCCGTGCTCAGAAATGCAGGGCAGGCTTCGAAGCTGGTTAGCTGAACCCGACGTGAGCTCCCGTTAGAAACTCTCGAGAAACGTCCCAGCCTAAAACAGTTGTACTTTTTAGAGTTCCCGTTCTTTCCGAGGACCCGTGTATACAGCGGTGAACATCCCCCTGGGTCGGTGGTGACCTCGCTTTCCGTGGCTGATACCAGGACGGGAGGAGCCCCACGCACAGTGAAGCGAGGCTTGGCTCTGCGGGCAGTGGCCTGAGCTTCCTGTATTTTATGGTAACAGGCCAGGCGCATGGGGTTGGACCTGGCTCTCGGGGCTCTGTAGGGTGTCCTCTCGGCCACTGTGCCCCATGGCACGTGCACATCCGAATTCTGCACAATGACGTTCACAGTGGGAGGGGGCCTGGGGCATGGCGGGGTAGGGCTTTTAGCCTGCCTTCGTGGGCTACGGTTTGATCCTGCTGAGACTACACACTATTACTTATTTACGTATTTACAGATTACTTTGACTTTTGAAATAATTACTTTTTTCTCTGCAACTTAATGAAAGTAAATAACTTCATCAAGTATAACAAAGCAATAGAGCTGAGACACAGCGTTTCGTGAATTAGCTGTGACGAAAGTGATCATTAATGGGATCTTCTGATAGGTGATATGACCTCAAAACAGTAATAAAAATAACTGTGAAATGACATCGTGTTGACTTGAAAAGAACCCGTCTTTACCTGGAGGAGCCCTGCTCACTCAGCGTCATTGTCTATGGCAACAGAGCGCTGAGGTCAGAGTCATTTTGTCAGTCACACCGACCTAGGGACTGTCTGGGGCGGAGCCTGGAGGAGGGTGGGGATGCAGTGGCTTAGTCAGGGGCTGCTGCTTCCTGGGTCACGGAGTGTGAGCGAGGCCTCGTGCACCAGAGCCCCTCCCGCGGTCCCCGGGCTGGGTCCTCCGCGACCACGCCTGCTCTGAAATAGGAGGCCGCCGGGCCGGGAAGCAGCCTGCCTCGCTGCTTCCTCCCATGCAGGTTGCAGTATCTCCCATCACACCCTGTCTTTTTAAAAAGTGCAATGGATGCCTATGCACACGTCACCCAGAAGTGACTCTCTACCGTGTTTTGTGTCGTAACAGCGTGCTGCAATCATGCTGTGACATGGGTCTGGTTCCGGAGTTTCCCTAGGCCTGCCGCAGCTGGCAGTAGAATGACCGCGTCCCAGCTGAGGGCGCCCCCACCCTCAGGCGGTCCCCCGTGCAGCTCGGACGCTGGCTCTGCCCATGAGCACCCCTCCCAGGGGTATATAAGAGCCCCTGAGCTCCGTGTCATCACGCGGTTCGAGGTCCTGTCACATCGGGTCGTTTTTGCTGACCTGGTCCACGTCAATGATACTTCACTGTGGACTCTGCGGGGGTGGGGGAGGGGGGAGTCCTTCTGTAGGTGCTCGTTGTGCGGGTTCCCTCATCGGTGGACCGCTACTTTCTCTTGCCCGTTAGCCAATGGGCTGATTTGGTTTATTCCTTACCAATTGTTAGAAGTTCTCCAGATCCTGATTACCAGTATCATCTTCCTCTCTATAGTTTAATTTTGTGTCTGGCATTTTTGTATTACAGAGATTGTGGGAAGTTAAAGGTAGTCAAATGTATGAATCTTTTTCTTTAAGATTTATAATATTTGTGTCCTAAGTTGTCATTCTATTCCCCATGGCCATAAAGATATTCTGATATTTTAGTTTTATGCTTTAGTTTTAGGTCTTTTCTTTCACTTGAAATTGATTCTTGTGTATATCTTGAGTTAGAGATAGAGTTTTTTCCTTACTGATAACCAGTTGCCCCGGCATCGTTTGTCACCCTTCCTCCGTGGCTTGCGATGCACCGGGGGTGCTCCTGTCTGCCGGGACGTTTCTCGGATCCCCATTGTGTCCTTGCTTTCATTCTTCCTGTACTGATACTGCGCTGCCTCAGTTACCAGTGCTTTATAATAAACACTGGAATGTGGTCAGTTGAGTCTCCTAACCTTGTTCTTCATAATTTTCACGGCTATTTTTGGCTTTCTGCTCTTCTGCATAAATTTTAGCATTAGCTTAACAACTATCATATGCAAGTCCATTGTAACTTTTATTGGAATTATGTTTCATTTACAGAGTAATTTGGAGAGAATAGAACAATTGGGGAAGAAAATTTCTGTATGAAATTGTATATCTTTTTGTTTACATAATTTATAGTTTATCTCTTTACTTTGAACTTTTCATTGCTCTCAATAATTAAAAAATTTTCTCCATAAATATGGTATATCTATTATATAAGACTTATTTCAAGAAACCCTATATTTTGTGTTGCCATTATAAGTTATATCTTTTTTAAAAATTAATTTTGTGAGTTCATTGGTGGCATATAGGCATACAATTAATTTTAGTATGTTGTATTAATATATCACTGAACAATTTTATTATTTCTAAAAATATGACTAGAGATTCACTTAGATTTTCTAGAGTCATATTTTTGTTAATAATCAAGTTTTCTGTCTTTTTCAGTCTGTAACAAACAGCATTGTGTTCAGTTATAACTGAAACAATAGCCTATTTTTTTGCGAAGTACAGTGAAATGGTTTCTAATATATAAGAATAGAGTGCTGTGATATTTATACATCATAGTTTAAGTAGTGAGTTCTCATCCTTTCAGCAAAAGCTTCTAGGTTTCATTTAAGGATGAAATATATTCATTTCTTGGATATAAACATTACTCTTGAGTGTGGTAGCCATGATTTAAATAAAACTTTTAAAGTTTAGTTTTACGAACTAGAATTCGGAAGGCTATGAAGTCCGCTGCCATTGTCAGCACTGAAGTGTTCACGTGCATCTACACTTCCCATTCTGAGAGGATTTCCAGGCCTCTTGGCAGTTTGTTCCTCGTCACACAAGTGTAGCCATTTCTATTCAACTCAATTTGTGTTCTGAGTATTTTTGTTCAAAGTATATAGAATATACACTGTCTGTTTAAATTCTAAATGTTCTTTTAATTGGAGAGTTGAGATCAAAGTAAAGCTTACTGTGTACATTCCAAAAAGGAGCCCGCTGTGCTCCTGCCCGCACCAGCGCTGACGCGAGCCGGCCTGCAGGCAGGGCCGCTGTCTTCCCCGCCTTGTGCGTGAGCGTCACAGGCCGTCTGCTGCGACCAGGCGCTGTGCCCCCATTCAGCGTCAGGAGGGAGGGTAGAAAAGAGAGAAGGATGGGGCAGTGCAGAGCACAAGGCCTCCACGATCCCCAGAATTCCCAGGAGTCCTTTCTGCATCTAGCCTTTTGCCTTAGTGGCCAGATGGGTCAAATAGCTGCCCCAGCAGCAAAGGAGGCTGGGACATGCAGTTTTCTGTCGAAGGGGTTGTCACCCAGTGTAAAACGAGAGCCCACCAGAGGGAATGAGAGCATTAGTAAGAGTCTGCTCTTCTGTCCCTGAGACAAAGGCTTTGCTTCATCCCCCATCTTGATGGACATCTTAGCTACAAATATAATATATTTTAACTTTCTTTTAGCCAGAGCCTTATGGGTTTCTGCTGTTGCTGTTAAAGAATCCAGTCAATCAAACTAATTCTTGTTTATAATCTGTCTTTAATGTTATCCATCTTATCCATATCGTTTTCTTTGATAGTCTACAGTTTTATTGCAATGTTTCAGTGCAACCTTTTTTTGTTGTTTTAGTTGGTTTTCCTTAGCTCTGGTAATTGGTGTAATTCATTGATTCTGGAAATTTTCAGATATCCTCATGTTGCAGATAAAGACATGGTAGTACAAAATTCTAGTTGATGATTTGC